AACAAGAAAATTGGAATATCTTGGACATATTACACGTGGAGAGAAATACAACTTCCTGCAACTGATTATGCAGGAAAAGATCCAAGGAAAGAGAAGCATAAGGAATCGTTGAATTTCATGGCTACGCAACCTGAGAGAATAATACGGATGTACATCAAATAAACATTTTAGAGCAGCAGCCGTCTCAAAAGCCGATAGCTATGATGATTGCCGACCTCCGCCGTGAAGATGGTACTCGAAGAAGAAGATTAAGAATAGCTGCATCTATGGTATATAATTTCCAACCTTAATTTGGCAACCAATTATACATACAACTATCTATAATAGTTTGCCTAATTGATAGTCTTAATGAAAGTTGATTTATTTAGCATTGTTAGTTTTTTATCTCGGACTAAGGAATAACTTTATTTTATTCTTAAAATATAAGAATTTTTTTCTTGCAATAAACAGTTATGTAGGTCGACTATAACTTAAAGCTAATCTAAATAATACTTTAAGAAGTTTGATTGGTGTCACATACCTATACTTTTAAGTTTAATTTTTTTTTAAGTAGATACTTTTTTTTAATTACTATTTTTACTTTACTATTTTACTATTGACTACATTTTACTATTTTTAATTAATAAATTTTATTTTCCGCAAATTCCATTGCAAGGTTCACTTTGTTCTTGACTGGTCCTTTTAACAATTTTTGGAATAATGAATAGCAGCATTACGTAGGACTATAGTCAATTTAATACTTAATTGTACCTACCTTATAACAGACGCAGTGATAGTAGATGACAAAACAAACTTTAATTAATCAAAACTAATACATTTTATGACATGTATTACATAAGTTAACCTAATCTAACATAAACCTAACGTTTTATCCTGTTACATACTTCGTTACAAACTTTCAGCGATGTTTAAGTCAAGTGTTATATCAAAATTAGTATTACCTTACGTAACTGTGTTCGTATTGTAATGATGTACTAAAGTAGTAGGTATATAAGTAGGGGAGAGGTGGGATAGTTCCATCGGTGGGATACTTCATCCCCATTTAAATTTGGCGCCCAGTGACATCCTATTACTGTTCTGTTGACCCACTGTTTTTTGACATTGAAAGTTTATTTTACGCGTGCGAGGTAAGTTATAACAACTTTAATTCGTTTAATTTATAATTATACTGCTCAAATAGGTGAAACATTTGTACTTTTATCATCGAGCAATAAGACAAAAGAGGGAATGTAAAGGTAGAAGAGGGTAAACATATTGATAGACAGGAAGTGCATCTTGAGAGGCCACTTTAGACAAGGAAAGACAGTCTCTTTCCTTGTTTAAGAAGTCAAATTTAGTTTGGTTATGTTATTGTTTGTCCCAACTGTCACATGAAATTTTATTTATATTGAAGTTTTTTACCAATTATGTCACTTTTTAGACTATTATCGTTGATATTTAATTAAAACTTCTTGTCTGAAAAATATTTTACAGGTATTGTTAACAAGTGTTGGAAATTTAAATTTAGCGCCTTTGCATTTCCGGATGTGTCCGCCATCAGAGGCCACTTTTTTGGTCTCCTTTTTATAACGATTAGATTCCCTCTTTTGTCTTATTGCTCGATGACTTTTATCCACTAAATATTCAAACATTAATATTTAAATTGTAGCTGTTCTAACCTAAAAGTTGCACTTGTCAGAAAAATGTCATTGCAGGGATAGTTGATCCTATTAAATGGGGGATACTTGATCCAGGATTAAGTATCCCACTTTGTGTTTCTTTTAATCTCGTGTTTAATGTAATTAATTTTATTTATGTTTATTTTTTCAGATGCCACGTAAGTACTGAACTAAAATAAAAGCAACGAAAAGAGTTCCACCTGATGCAAAAAATGTTGGAGCGGCTAGCTTCATTGGAGAGCATCCGCTAGGCAGTTCGGAATAAATGTTGAAGACATTTTTGTTTTCACAGAATAAACATTAAAGAGATTGTGCAGAAAAATATGATATCTATCCCAGGCTACAAGGTGTGCCAGGTTTTTTCACCTGACCAGGAAAAAGAACTTGGTATGTTTTCGAAAGATATGTCCAAGATGTATTACGGTCTTACTGTGGTGCAATTGCGTAAATTGGCATATTCTGTAAAGCGGCCGCGACTGGTACCGAGGTTTTCTTGATAGAAACCCTACGATGTCATTAGGACACCAGAAGCCACAAGTTGGCACGAAGCTCAGCTTTTAATCGTCACACAGTTGGTACATTGTTTATTCAATTAACAGATGTTTATACACGGTACCAGTTTCCTCCTGAATGTATATGAAATATTGACGAAACTGGCCTTACTACAGTACACAAATCTGCTAAAATAATTGCTGTGAAAGAGCCGAAGCCGGTGGGCAAAATTACATCTGCAGAACGAGGCGAACTGGTTACTGGTGTGTGCTGGCATCAATTCTGTAGGGGGTCACATGCTTCTTTACATGATATTTCTCAGAAAAAAACTGGCACGATAGGGTTCTAAGCCATGCCCCTCCTGGCTACAATGCAACAATATATCCAAGTGGATGGATGACTTGCTCCAGTTTTCTGAAGTTTTTGGAATAGTTTGTTCGTTTCGCTCAGCCAAGCCTAGATTGGAAACATTTAATTGTTATGGACAACCATGAGAGCCACTGCTCATTGAACGCTGTAAATTATGCAAGAGACAACGACATCGAATTTCTTACAATTCCGCGGCACACCTCTCATAAGTTACAGCCATTGGCCCCGTTTTTGGTCCACTAAAGACTTACTACTCCCAAGCAGCTTCAAATTTTATGCTCAAATTTCCCGTTCATAATTTGTATTACCATGAAAAAACAATAAGGTTTTATGTTGAAAAGTTTTGTGCCTGAAAGAAAATATTGGAAGGTAAATGTTTAAGGCGGAAGGGACTAGAAGGAAGCTGTTTCACTTTTCAACAGTAGAGGACCTCAGCGAAGTGGACCGGACAGACCTACAAAAGCTGCCGCAGCCGTCCGTCAACAGAACGGCCAGGACTGCTGACAAAATTTAAGCATAGATTTGATGCTAATGTTTTCTAAATAATTGTTCTTTTTTGGCTCCATTTATTTTTGTATTGTGTTTTTATTTAATAAAGTAGGTAGTTTTTTGTTTCATTGTTTAATTTAATTACCTCTCATATTTGGCAATAATTACTTATGCTATGCATCATAGGTCGGATACTTTATCCCAGGGATCAAGTAGCCCCCTCACGGGGATCAAGTATCCCTCATGGGCATGGGTTCTTGAACCGCACTAGTGTTTTACAGTTATATTCAAAAAAAGGGTACAAGTATTAGAAAGGGAAGTTAACGTCATCCTATTTGTGTAAAACCGGCTGGGATTTTTGGAGGTTATCAAATGTCATAAGTGATCAAAAATGCAACTCATAGGCGTCAAAGAGGTTTAATTTGATAGAAGGTTTAACGGTACGTACAATAAAAAATTAATATGCCTCGTCATTTAAGTGAGATTGAAAAGGCTCAAATAATTACGAAAATGAAAGAAGGATGGTCAATTCGTGCGCTAGCAAATTTCTATAATAGAAATTTGAAAACAATCTTCAGAATTAAGCAACGATGGGTCCAACAACAATCATTAAAAAGAAAAGTTGGTTCAGGGCGTTCCAAAGTATCTACTCCTCAACAAGATGCTGCTTTAGTTCAATTCTTAAGAGATAATCCATTTGCGACGTCGAAGGATTCAAGGATTCATACGGGATTTCGTGGTGCCCAACCTACTGTAAGCAGAAGGATCATTAAATCTGAATTATAAAACCGACCAGCTGCTAAAAAACCATTAGTAACTGTTGAACATCGGCAAGCAAGAGTAATATTTGCACTAAACTATATTTACCGCAACCCACAATTTTGACACAACGTCATTTTTACTGATGAAAAGACTTTTAAATCGACCTATAACGGTCAAATCCGTGTTTATCGTTCAGCCAATACTAGGTTTGAAGAACGATATATTCACTCTCATAATAAATCTGGACGTTTTTCTGTAAATGTATGGGGTTGGATTAGTATACATGAACCTGGTGTTTGTTGGGGATTAGAGGGAAGATTTACTGCCGACAATTACATTAACGTTTTGGAACACGTAATGCTCCCTTCTATTAAGCAATTGTATCCTAATAATACTTTTATATATCAACAAGATAATGTGTTCAGTCCACACTGCCCATGCCGTAAGGAATTGGTTTCAAACGCAAAACCTGGAAGTATTGCCATGGCCTGCGTACAGTCCAGATATAAATCCAATTGAAAACATTTGGGGCATAATTGTTAAAAAATATGTAAAAGAAATTTTATGCCACAAAATTCAGATCAATTGTGGGATACAATCTTAGAGTGCTGGGAAGATCTTGATCCAAATATGATATCTAATATAATTCAAAGTATGCCAAATAGACTAAACAAAGTTATAGAAGCAGACGGTTCTATCACCAAATACTAAATTCTATTTGTAACAGTCATTAAAATTATTCTTTATATAATTGTTGAAAAAATGGTTTCGTCTAATTAATGCTCAACGCCAATGATTTATATTTTTAATAACCTGTGACATTTGATAACCTCCAAAAATCCCAGCCGGTTTTACACAAATACGATGTACTCTTTCTAATACTTGTACCTTTTTTTTTAATATAACTGTACAAGCACTGATCTACCTTATTTGTTCTACAAGAAAGAGATTCTAGGTGAACACCCAGTGAAAGAGATAACCACATTACGAACCTGTTTAATGAAATTAAGAAAATAACTATTATGGTCTGAAAATAATCTTAAACACTAAACCAGGTATCAGCCATCCCACCTCTCCCCTACGAATGCAGTAGAGTTTAAAGGAAATTGTGTATATTAAGTGCAATATCATATAAATACTACTTTAACATTTGATTATCAAACACAATTTTATATGAAATTTTAGTCAATCTAGATAATAGACTCTTTACTAATTGTATTTTTCTTTTAGATTAGTTCAATTAGTAGGTCAAAGGAAGGCGCTCGAAATTTTAGCGTCTGGAAAAATTTTTAATGCACAAGAATGTTTAAAACTAGATTTGGCATATAAAATTGTTAATACAGAACAGAGACTTGAGCAAGCTTTGGACTTCGTCAGAGGTCTTACGGCATATCATAGCACTATCATACAGTCCATGAAGTTAGTGACAGAAGTAGCATCCGAGGAATCTTTAGAAAAATCACTTGATTTTGAAAGAAACGAATTTTATACTAAATGGGGATCAGATATTAATAAAGAGGCTGTGAGCAAAAATATTAGATTTGTTAAAAACGAGAAGATATAACAATATATTTATATATTTTTTTAGAATAAATATTTTTACTATTTTTTTTGTTTACTTTTGCGTATGTTATTGCCACTTTTCTTGTGGTATTAGTATTTTAGCAGGTGTAAGCCACAATTAAGGTTAAAATAAGTTTATAGAAGTTTTAATTTTCACTTCGATTTTTTTTTAGATTTTTCCATTTTGAGAACAATTTCCGAAGTAGAAATTGAAACGTCAATAAACTTATTTTGCCCTTCAATTGTGACTCATTCCCATAAATATAATAATGAATTTACGTAGAAGACCTCACATCTTGACCGTGATGGTAATTATTACACGAGGTTTGTACCGAAGTGTACAGATTTCCATGTATGTCTGGAAAATTAGCTGGACGTTGCAGTGGCCTTAAAAGTCTTATGAGAAACCTTAGGATTATAATGAAAACGATAAAAAAATGCATTAAGTTATGTCAATTAAAGACTAAAGGCGAAAATGAGTTGGACATATTAAAATAATTATCGAAATGGTGTAAAATTTCAAGCCAAGCTTAAAATTTCCTTTTGTTCTTAATCACTACTTCTTTGTTTTCCACCACCATTATTAAATAGAGGGATATAAAGCTAACTCTTTACTGTAGTAGTATACTAACATCTACATCTCGGAAAACGCTAAATGAGCTACCATCTGAGGGTTATATACTCTTAGTGTCTACTGGCTCTAAAAAATATTTTGCAACATTAAAAAAAAATAATATCAGATAGATTAAACCGTGACTTAGATTATTGTGACATAGGCAATAAAGATATAAGCTTTGCTAGTTAGTACCTATATAAAGTTATAATTGTGTAGTACCTATTAAAACTTTTACAAAATGACAATATCGACTTTGTTGTCATACAGGAAATCTATTGCGAAACAGTAGAACAACTGTAAAGAAGAGGCAAAATACCATTTTCTTAGCGACTGGTCGCATCCTATAGCCGATCTTATGGAGGTAGTTGTAGATTAAGTCCCTTATATAGTACAACACAAACGATAAAAATTCGAAAGTCACAATATTTCGGTCATGTAATAAGACATCCAGAGTGGTATAATCTTCTACACCTCATAAAACAGGGCAAGATCGTCGGAAGGGGAGACTCAAGACGAAGAAGAATATCGTGGCTCCAAAATCTCCGAGAATGGTATCAAGAGACCACCGAAAATTTATTTAGAGCCGCCGTGAATAAAGGTATTACTGCCAATATGTAGTACATGGGCAGATCGCTAAGTTTGTCATACAAGAAACTTAACCTGATAATATGCAGTAGGACAATAACGAGTTGCATGTAGTCTGGTAAACGAAACGAAATGACATGTGCCGCATAAAAGTTTAATTAAAAAAACCCACTTAGCAGACCGTCGGCATCAAAAATAAACTATTGTAAGAAACAAGCTCTGCTTTTATAAATTATGAACATTGAAGTCTTATCCAAATATATCGTAGAAAACCATACATATTACATAAACTCATTTACTGTATAACAACAACAATTGCTAATATTATGGGCATTAAGACTAGATCACGACGGGATACTTATACCAAAAGGATAGATAACAATTGGAAAAAACGACTGCTGAGAAAGTTTAAATTATTATGTAGGAAAATTGAACAAATTACGGAATATATTCTAGGAGTAAGAAGTATGAAAGTAATCAACAGAGCTTAAAAAATATTGCTGAACACTACGGCGAAGACACTTATAACATGAGTGCCAGCTCATCAATGCCTGGACACAATTAGACAAAAACTTTTCATTAGTTCAAGCCGCCTAAGAAATACAACGAAAAGATCGCCAAGTATAGAGATCTAGAAATACAAATCAGGATACAATGGAGAATGGAAACTACCCAGACCGTGGTTATTATTCTATCAATTATTGGTGTTATTCCCAAAAATCTCCTAGCGAACATAAAACAGCTGGGTCTAAATGAACATATTTTTAAGGCCATGCAGAAAGCTGTACTCCTCGTGACGTCCAGATGTGTACGAAAATGTTTGGGAGATACTCCAGTATACCAATTCACCTAGGGCTCGATAACACGGAAAGAGTTCCACCAGAGCTCAATCCTTTTTTTAATACCGCAGGTATCTGGGATGAGTAAATTTTCACCTTAGAGGGAATGTGAGCCATATGGCTAATTCTGGATAATAATTCTATCGGGGCTGCCAAGCGTTTGTCGGAACTATCACGATCGCCGCGACACCGTAGGAAAGATCATTCAACAAGAACTAGCAATCAAAATGGTACGCCTCCAAACCACATAGTCTTCTTTATTATTAATACGCCCCTTTCAAAATGCTTAAAAACAACAACTACAAGCTATACTAGAACCACACTGTGCTTACAGACCAAACAGTATCACATTATAGATCGGATCTTTTACTAGGTAAAAAACTAATTAGACAAACAACACTAATGAATATAATTGATGGATTCGACCGTTACTTGATGGAAATTCATTTTATGTAACAATAAAACAATGAAAAATTTGTTTTCAAACTTCCACAAAATTTATTTTAAATATTATCACTACAGCTGTTTCGGTGATTGCCTTTCTCAAGTGATCTATTTTGGCTTGGGTTTACAAATTTATAGTCTCTAATGAAATAGGTTGAGGAGGGGAGAACTGTTTGTCTCAAGTGGTCATTCAGAATTATATCTGTGTTTTTTAATTTGTTGATTTCTTATATCTTTGTTAGAATCTATGGAAATCAACAAATTAAAAAACACAGATATAGTTCTGAATGACCAACTTGAGACAAACAGTTCTCCCCTCCTCAACCTATTTCATTAGAGACTATAAATTTGTAAACCCAAGCCAAATTAGATCATTTGAGAAAGGCAATCAGCCGAAACAGCTGTAGTGATAATATTTAAAATAAATTTTGTGGAAGTTTGAAAACAAAGTTTTCAGTGTTTTATTGTTACTAATGAATATGTTGAACACTGACAACAATATTTTACTTGTTCGTCTTCTTTAACAATATTCTGCTTGTTCCTCTTCTTTAAGTTCCATCTTCTATCGAAGGTTGAAAATTATCATGGGTATGCGGATCCCTGTTGACTGCCGCTTTAAATAATTCTCCACTACTGCATTCAAACCATTCTCTCAAGTTCTTAAGCTACGATATTTTTTGTCTTCCACATTTCGCTTTCCTCGAATTTTGCCTTGCATACTAAGCTGCCATAATGAATATCTTTGCCCTCTCGTAACATGGCCTAAGTACTCAAGTTTTCTTCTTTTGATGGTCAATATTATTTCACTTCATTTCCTATCCTATTCTTCATTATCTGGGGATTGTGACAGTCTGATATATTAGATTAAAGAGTTCAACCATTACATCAATAACATCTTCATCAATAAGTTTTAATCATTCGATGCGCACATCATCTAGTCCAGTTACTTTGCCGTCTTTTGTGTTTTGATGATGACTTTTTCCTGTAATATTGGTGATTATTTGAGCTGTCTTGTATCCATGATTTTTTGGAGATAGGATGCTTTAGAGTATTTAGTTTCACACAAAACAACAACATTGTGAGCGGATGATATGTCCGCTCGTGAATAGGTTTTGGATGATATAAAATTTTTGTTGTTGATAATATAATATTTTTGATTTCTGATTATTTTGTTGTTATTTTTAACTGGAAATCTCCATATATATAAACTACGTTTAGAAAGTTTAAACAAGGTATTTTCAATTATAAGTTCCTCATTGATACAGAAATCTACCATCAGATCGCCACCTTCATTCCTCTCCTCGAGTCCATATCTCCCACATAATTTTCCATTTCTCCTTGGCCCACTTTAGCGTTTAAATCTCCCATTATGTTATTTAGAATATTATATAACTATGCAAATAAACTTAAACAAAAATAATCGGATAACCATTTTTTCTAATTTAAATAACAAAAGCACCTTGGTGCCCTACATTTGTCATCCTAGTGTCTTTTATTTCTTTTAAATCTACTAAATAATCTTCTATTATCCTGTAGCTGATTCGTGGATGTACTGGTTTATAGTAACGAATGACATATTTCATATTCTTGCTGACAATATATTGAGTTCCGAATTGATGTTACAATTTTGTTGACGATATATGGGGTCCCGAACTGATGTTATCTTTAGTGACAGTTAATAAAAAAGGGGAGTTTCCCTTAATATAGGACGAAATGCATGTTTCTCACTGATGTTGGTTAATTTTTTTTTATGGATTTAGTTTCCTTTTCTCTACTATTTTTTTTATATTTTAATATTCCTTTTACTAAAAAATATTTTGCTATAATATATATCAGCTGCTACATCATGCTTGCTTTCAATCATAAATAACGTAAAGAGCAATAAACCTTTAATTAAATTTAAACATAAAATAGTATATTACATAACGTTAGTTGTAAGAAGCTTATTACATGCGAGTAAAAAAATTGCGCGCGAGCTGCGTAGCGGCGAGCGCAGTAATTTATACAAGCATGTAATAAGCTTACAACTCAAGTTGTGTACTATACTTTTTCTACGATTATTTTCGTTTATAAAAATAGAAAATTAAATTACCATTATATTTACACTGACAGATTAATAATTTTTAATCTGTCAAAATAACGTCTGTTAATTCGTTTCCATGGTAACTCGACTAGCTGACTTACGAGGCTTGTGTGATATTACACATTTTTATAAAACTGAAGCGTTATTTTTTTTATTACGTGCTAGTCATTACGTGTCAGTATTTGTTATGATGCATTTACTATAGCATCCAAATAGTAGGTAATATACAATTTACTAGTAAGAGAGTAGAAAAATAGTATATTACATAACGAGAGTTGTAAGAAGCTTATTACATGCGAGTAAAAAAGTTGCGCGCGAGCTGCGTAGCGGCGAGCGCAGTAATTTTACAAGCATGTAATAAGCTTACAACTCAAGTTTTGTACTATACTTTTTCTACGATTATTTTCGTTTATAGAAATAAAAATTAAATTACCACTATATTTACACTGACAGATTAATAATTTTTAATCTGTCAAA